CGCAGCACACTGATCCGCGACATCCGAGAAGAATTCCACGATTGACAAAATCCGTAACTGGTACACGACAACCAGTTCATCGAGAAGCCACAGTCACTGTTGAAATACGGTGCCATTGTACAAACAAGAGAATATCATAATCAAAAGATACTCCAATGACATCCTAAACGAATAAGTTTATCCAGTAACCCGTTACAACAATAACAAGGCGCCCCTAGTGTACGGAGGCAGTGCACTGAATTGTCCCTGACGCCTACCTACTTAGCAACATATAGTCACACAACTAGCCAAGTAGGAAACGAAGAGTCAGTTATCCAATCAAACAAGGGTAAGGAAACTGTTTGTGGACCCCTTGGGCGAAGAACGCATGCTGAGCCGCAAAGAATATCAAGCACACGAAAACTCAGACCTGGTTTGGCTTAAGTCAAAAGACAAAGAGGGGACGAAGTGACATATGATAAAGGAACAGGACAAGTTGGGAGTAAGTGCGTCAATCGTGGGTCACCGGTCACACAGGCAAAGTGAAGTGTTCGGACAATACCGGAATTGTACACCAAACGAAAGACTGCAGTGTGTGATAGTGATCAAATACAGTGACGCGAGCATTAAGGTGTAAATCAAAGAGGGAGTTAATAGACTGTGGTGGAGTGGATAGGAGGCAACAGGCAAATAGGAACATGGAGAACGGCATGCACGCACAGGTGGCGCGTGAAAACAGTGTAGGTGAGTTCAACAAAGTAGACTGGGAAGATTGAGGCAATAAGATTGGGCAAGGTGGACGATGTGCGCCATTAAACAAATACACGTTGCACTCAGTACTGTTATCTTAAGAACGCGAATTGGTATAACAAGTATTGCTGGACGGCTGGACAAAAGAAGCTGTCGGCAGCGTCAGCAGCAGCAACACATCAGCCATTTGAACTGAAGTTTCGCTGCCGTACAATCAGGGTGACGTATGCAAGGAAGGATAATGGCAGGGAGGGAAGTGCAACCTAGACTAACACTTTAAAAAGCTAAAAAAATATTCAGGGTCAATGCGTCTACATGTTGTCAACAAGGTACTGTCACAGTGTGCGAGCTATCGTGCAAATATAAAATGCATTAAGCGAGACAGCTTTCTTGCGGCTTTTACTGCCGTGTAGCGTAATCAGCCATAACCCCACAGACAAATTACCCAAAAAAAACATTTTAGAAAGGATGTTCAAGTAAGTGACGACAGCGAATGCGCCAGTCATGCCGACTGCGAGCCATGTCCTGCAACGTCGCGAGTCAAGCACAAGGCGTCTTGCATGGTTGCGACGGACAAATGGATCCAAGTTTACTAGTCAGTGGATACATTTCCCTCTGTCGAGTTAAATTTTGCTCAGCTTTATCTTTGCGTCACCCAATGTCCGGCTAAAAATTGAGGCACTTCTCGCTAAGCGGATACCAGTTGTACAAAGTACGTGCCTGTACCGTTATAAGTGACACCCCTTGCTGACGCATCATCGTCGTAAAGTTGTGAAGGAATCCGTAGGTGGGAAGGTGTACCCTGGAATTCCTGTGAAAAGCTGTCATTTTAGTTAAAATTAAGAATAAATTATTAAAGCAAAAAGCCGAGTCGAATATATTGTGTTTTACCTCTGCTGTGGTCGAAAGTTCATCAAAGCAGCGATCAAACCGGAATGTTGTGTGCTCCAAATATTCAGTTAGATCAACCCGTTGTCTTGGTTCACAGAGTACAATGTGATCCGCTGCTGGAATATTCACTACATCCACATCACCGGCAGAAATCTCTAATTAAAAAGGATAAAATGCATTAATATGTTGCAATATGCAAGCATCTGAAGTCAATTATACTGAGTTTGCCTAACTATTGAAGACACGTTAGAAAGCCAACTATGAAAACAGAAATCCATGCAAGCAAATAGGTACTAATTTATTCCAGTCAGGTAGATGCATTGGTACTCTCCAGAAAGTACATAAGCAAGTTTCTTTTCGTTGTGGATGTTGCTACTTTAAACGTTAAGGCACTACATTCTGATGAATAAAGCAACATTGATTCCACACCAACAAGGTTTCAATTTCCTTAAAATGTAACAAAACACTCACATTCCGATCTAGTGATGGGTAATAATTTACCTTGGGGTTCTGTTACTCGTATAAATCTGGGGAGACTAGGTTGATGAAAATCAACAAATATAAGTGTTAGCCGAAAATCTGGCATAATACAGATGAGAAAATGAGTAAATGTTAATGGGCAGATATACATGACTGTCAGGGGTGGTGGCGTCTCACTTTGACCATTGTGAAATGTGCAAGTACTAATCTACTTAATTCGGCCGGTTGCAACGACGTGCAACTGAATCTGTCCTTCTTCTGTGATGGTAAAAATCCCCCAAAATTTCTTTAAATCGGCTAAAGCATCTCTTCCTGGCGTTATCCGTTTGGATCCAATTCTTGCGATCTATTGCATCGCCTTGAACCAAGGTTTTATCGTTTTCCCTACGAATTTAAAAACACAGATTTGTGGGAAGATTCGTTGCAGATAAACTCAGGCAGATGTCAGCTACACATATAGGAAAGCTCTAGCTAGCCGTATTGTCATATTGAAACTCGGCAGTCGAGCGTACCCACCTAGTGAAACTGAATTTGAACACACGGCCTTGCTCTTACGAACCAGCGACCCATTTCGATGGAGCGGATGATTACGAGCACGCGAAAGCCAGCAAAGCCACTCGAACTGATGAAGACGGAAAAAGGCGCAGACACCATGAATAAGACCAGACGGCGCAACGCAAGCCTCACAATACGAGTGGAGAGTGGATCGCGAGCAAGGGACGGGTACCACCATAGGGTCGCTGACCACTTAGTTATGTAACCAGAGATGAGTGCCAAACGGAGGGTGGATGAACAACCTTGTTAACCACCTGCATCTCTATGGACTGCTACCGAATACAAGAAGGTGTATGAGCTACCCAGCTGTCAACGGTGTACGTTAATCGTCTCGCTGCCTTGTGGGTCAAGTCATGGGGACCAAAGGTTAGTGTGGGGTCCCTTAAGTCAACCCACTTCCTCGGCTTGAGCAACAGGGAAGATATCTACCCACAGAACGCATAAACCTTCTAAATCCTCTTAACCCTTGTACTAACAATCTATTTACCCCTTTTGTTTTTGTTACATAAGTGTTGTAGCACTGCCAATTTTATTTTGGTAAAGTGTTGAATAATAATAATAATGATGGAAATAATAATAATAATAATAATAATAGTAACACGGGCTTTAGCTATACAGTACAAAAAGGGAAGTAACTCCGACAGAAACGACTTTGTTAGCGCATTCAGGAGTAATAACAAGCCGAATGACGCATTTAGGATCAAGCGAAGCAAGAGGATTCGAACAACACCAGGCTGATCAGAATGCGTGCTATGGAAGTAAAGATACGCGATCAAACAGGAAACCAAGGCTCCCGAAGGTGCGGAAAAATGACGCACGAATATGACCTGTGATTCCCGGTTATGTTGTGTTCTGGGACGAAAACGTGGCAAATATATTGCGCACTTGCGTGCAGCTACTTGAATCTTAGACTGTACTTTCTCAGCCTTTCATTCTTGCTACACTGACACTGAGCCACGGATGATGGAAACGGATCACCTTGATTGATAGCGAAATGCTCTCTAGCGCGGCTCACACACCACAGCTCTACATGTTAGGAACGTGCGGAGGACGGAGCTGGCCCGCACAGCAATGACTTCTAGCAACCTGCATCCAATGGAGGTAACCTATAAGCTGTTAGACAAATACTAGTCATTTTTAGTAGTAGGGAGATTTATTAGGTTTTGTGATGAATTGTCGCAGCTAGACTCAGGGGCCAGCTCTATCATCTGCACATTCATAACATATATGACGCTGGAGGATAAGCCGCGCTCTATCACAGTTAGATATCAATTATGGCGACGAGCTGCAGTCACCCAGGTCTTCGTGTCATAAGTCGCTGGCATCCAAGACCTTAGTCTTGGATTCGGCTGGTACGCTATAATGACGAGTTGTAATAGGACAAAATGGCCGTCTAGCGCTTGCCTGGATGTGTAGCGGCGGACTGTCGGCGTCTAGCTGCAAGCAATCTGCACACAAGCATAATGAATTTCTTTGCTGCTCAATAACACGTCTGTACCTTTTTTGAGTCTACATGATTAGCTAAGGTATCGTCTGCATAACAAATGTTTACCCCCGAATAAAGTTAAAATCGGTCCCTTTGGCGGCCTTGTATTGTAACAACGGCAACGTTCTTTCTTCCAATGCAGACACAGTCTGCTCACTCTGTGCATGCGATCCAATTCGGAATATGTACCATGTTACTTATGGTTTACCCGCAACTATATAAGCTTGGACTCTAATTTAATTCCATCGGCAGTCTATATCCTCTGCACAAGATAACACAATTTGGGACTATTAGTTACTCTCAACGTGAAAATCAATGGTAGATCCCACTTATTTTTCGAGAAACTGATGAGTTTACGCTAAATCGATAGCGGGGAGTCAAAACCGGTTACTTTTCACAACTGGCTGCATTAGGTTGGCGCGTCGGTCCTTCCTTACCATAACTGGACAAAACCATATACCATTTGCTCACCTTTTATGTTGTAACCCGCACATAGCGGAAAAGAAATGCGTTCAAAGCTTTGCTTCCACCAGTGCTTTGTTTGTTAGTCAACGCAAGTCTGTATGTTGTTACTAAGAGTGATAGCAGACGATATGTCGCCTATCCCATGCTCAATCCCATCGTCTCTAACCTACATTTCTTGTTAAACCTTTCTCGTCAACAAAATTTGGGTAATTATAGTGTGTGACGAAACCACTTGTTAAAGAACATCTTCAGTAGTGCCGCTGAATTCACTACCTGAATGCAACGAATTGTAGTTTCTTAAGGTGTCTTTAGGGTTCAGTAATTCCCATGCACATCAGATCACAGTATTTTAGCCATGGTTTTTAGTCCAAAAAGTGTATACAGCTTAATTTCTGTAGAGTCAGAAGCTGCCAAATGCTTCCAAGCATCGTAAAACAGGGCTTGCCTAGCCCTTTGCTACATTCTTCTTATATGCAAATGAAGATCTCCTGATACGACAATTATTATTGCTATTTGGGGATGTTTCTATTGTGGGATAGCATGTTTCATCTTCTCGTTCTTTGTCCAGAGCTACAAGTCGAATTTGTATTACGCATGCTTGTGTCAAAAGAGTTTTATAAGCGACAATCATTGTGAGTAACTCTCGGGGTTCTAAACTGTGAAGCACGTTTGAGTTCCACATTGAAGCTTTTGTCCCATCTCACAGACAAACATTCTCGAGATCTTCCGAATCCCGATCCTATACGATGGTTTATCGTCACTTAATTTCCAGTACGAAGCTAGAGGCCCACGTGATAATAGATTTTAGAATGGCCATATGACTAAGACATCGTCATATTCTCCATTTCATTGTCCACGATTCGGAAATATTGGTATCCCTGGTGAGCAGTTACAGTTCAGTGTATATGCGTTCATTGGAAACATTCGCTATTCAGCCAATACGACTTGTCCACTAGACTTCTTCTGACCAAAAGCCATTAGTGCTTGCTTTAGTACCGACAACTGAATTGCACATGTTCGCTAAGCTAATGATAGAGAGCCTGCTAGAGCTGAATTATCAAATCCCTTAACTTTATGACTTCGCATGATCTGCCCAGTATAGTTAGGTAAGTTCATAAACCCCACACATTAAAAGAACTCGTTGAGGAGCAGCAGGGGAGGAATAGCAGCACGGTTCCTTTGATGATATTTGCATGGGTTACATCTTCTCTTCGGTAATTTGTGAGTTTGAAACCAGGCCACTGGATTCCAAAAGGAAACTTTCATTCAAAGCAAAACTCAAAAATGCGTTACACTAAAAGATGTATCACGGTCAATATAAGGCGTCATACGTAATTCTGGCACCCTGAGCCAATAGTTTGGATTTTAAAATCACCGGAACACACATATCCTTGAGGACCGAATAACGCTACAACAGTGCTCGGTGAGACGGTTCCTTGCTAGTAACAATTTGACGAAAATACAAATAGACAGCCTCCAAAGTATTACTCGGAACAATCTCAAACTCATTTGGAGAATCGGATGACCACAATCTGTCTAGAATACCGCCAAATCTCTACAGTTGCAATACACTCTAACACTCCGAAGTGCACCATCTCGTTTTGCATGACTACTTCGATCCTAATCTACCTATGTCGCCTTCAATTCATAAAAAGTATTGAGGAAAATTGATTTTGTGCAGCCATACATCTATCAAAATTGATAACATTCATTCGAAAGCGCTGGAGATATCTACGGTGGGTTTAGTCGTGTCCTTGTCATCTTTTACGACGTACACGTGTTAACTAGTAGTCCACATGGTGTGAATAGCTGCGGATCATTGTTCATATCTAAGGATGGTAGTCTTTCAGAACCCACAAACTAACATCATGTGCTCCTCCTAGTGCTCTTGTGGGGCAATTAGGGATTAGCTGGAAGTGTTCAAAATCCTACCACATGAGCTAGACAGCTACCGTCAACACCGGTGATGCATTAACAGTGTACTGATTACACGTGCTAATCAAACAGGGACGGCGGATAGTGGGACAGAAATCCTTGTTCTCTATCTAGACTTTCCCAAAACTTGCGACTGTCTGGATCACGGAGCACTTTTAGATTGATTATAAAACTATGAAATTGAGAATCATATCGCCGGACTTATCAGGAACTTCACCTTTCCGTGGCGACGGT